AAMYAACTAGGATTAAGGTTCTGGCAATGTTCAGACTGGCGCTGCGGACAGCTTTCTGCAACTGACGAAGGAGTTCTCTCCCTCACTTTGATGAATGGCGGCAAATAGCGAGGACGCGTGAAGAAGTTGCTCGTAGAAGTTACAACTAAATACAATTCCAAGCGAACGTTAGCCAAGCTTGAGCGCCGGAATATACCCTGATAGTACTTAAAGTGCTTATTGAATCGCTTTTTGAGGCGAGGTGTCTACAAGCGAGTTTACAAGGTTTTAATTATTACGTTGTTTCATCATGACTGGCAAAGAGATGGCGGATAAAGAACCTGAGCAAGAAAGGCCTGTAGTTAATGTGGCCAATAGGAATTATTATTATTATTATTATTATTATTGTTATTATTCGTATATGAGCACGATCCTTCGCAGTAAAGCACTATTTGAGCAATAGTGAAAATCAGACCTGAAAAAAATTTCAGGCCTGTACGGGATTCGAACCACTGACCTCTGCGATACTAGTGCAGCGCTCTACCAATTGAGCTAACAAGCCAACTGGGAGTAGGCCATCAAATTAATTTACTGCGAAGGATCGTGTTCATATACGTCTCATAACCGCAGTTCACACATATGTTTCATATGTTTGTTGTTGATTGTTATTATTATTAGTAGTATTTCAAGTCTCTCCATAATGTTTACTCAGCACCCTTTTCGCTCTCTCTCTGTTACATACAGGTGAATTGGGGATCATCTGCGCAAGCGTACACTTTTGTGCAGGCATTGCGCTACACTCGCCGGTTGGATGGAATCGGTCATCACGTGAAAAACTTCCGTCCACATTGTTTAGTGCTAACAGGGCATCCACAGGACCGACCCAACCTGACATACGTGGTGTCTCAGATCACTAAAAACGTCAGTCTTATGGTGTACGGTAATGTGGTTATTAAGGAACATTTTGAAACGCTCCCTGAAGACGAATCGGATGCTAAGTGGATGAGAGAACACAAGATGAAAGCTTTCCGCGCTGTGACCACAGGTGAACAATGTAGTGCCAAATGTAAGAAAGCGATCCTCGCAGTAACGAACACTACTTAAATAGTAGTGAAAAAATTCAGGGATTTTGAATGTAGTGCCAAATTACCAAACAGTTGTCTTGTATTCCGTTTAAATTTTAAATATCGCCGGTGTTTGTTAGTTGTAGTTTCATATATTTGTTGTTGTTGTTTATTTTTTCTTGTTATCCGTTGTACATCCACAAGTTATTTACCTTTCTTGTGTTTGAAGATGTGTTTAGAGCATGACAAATGATAATATTTGCATACTAGGAGTTGCATTTCCGCGCTATGTTCACCAAACATTTTTTTTCTTTCTTCGTTTGTATTACACAAACACTTCTGGTTATTTAGAGGCTGCATGACTACTTGATCCTGACTTTTCTTGCATGTGTGTTCGATAAAAAGTTTTGCCTTTCTCTGTTGATATATCTTCGTTCCCATTTTACCTCTACAGCGCGCAGTCTCCGCGAGGGTGTGCAGTCCATGATTCACCTCACCGGACTGGGAAAGATGCGGCCAAACACTGTTGTCATGGGCTTCAAAAAGAACTGGACAGATAAGAGGTACTTAAGTGAGGTAGTCGACTACCTTGGCGTTATTAACGACGTCTTCGAGCACAGATATGGGCTGGTCATTCTTCGAATGAATGACGAACAGAAGAAAAAATTCATCGTTGAGACGGTGGATGAAAGCTCCTCGTCGGATTCAGACTCGATTATAGACGAAGACGAGTATTCTAAGCCCAAAAGTTTTTCTGTTGCGAAAAGGTCAACGAAAGAAGAGAGGGAAAGTCTTACCAGCCCTGATAAGACGTCTGAGCCAACTTCCGAGTCTTCTCCGACACCAGAGGTCAAGATCGCTTTGAAAGAGAAACAAAGTGGAACAATCGATGTCTGGTGGTTGTACGATGACGGTGGGCTGACAGTTTTGTTGCCTTACCTACTGACACTTCACCGCGCCTGGAAGAAATGCAAATTGAGGTTTTTCTCGGCTAACATTCGTTCCAAGCACGAGGTGAATCCGCAAGGGTTGCGCATGGCAAACTTGTTGAAGAAGTTCCGCTTTGACGCTAGCTGCGTCGAGCAAGTTGAAGTCAACGAGCCGCCCTCGAAGGAGAGTATCGATGCTTTCAGACGTCTGCCAGTTAAAGAGGAGCTCGGAGAAGAGCCTATCAAAGACCAGAAAGTTCTAAGAACGATTCGCATCGGAGAACTCGTGCGGAAGCACTGCTCAGCGGACACAAGGTTGGTTGTAATCTCCATCCCAGTCCCCGTCACGGACGTCACAACCCCTCTGATGTATATGAGTTGGCTTGAGGTGATGTCCGCTGACCTACCGCCGGTGCTGCTCGTACGTGGCAATCAGACCAATGTGTTGACATTCTATTCTTAGTCAAGACTTAAATTTTTGGTCATAGACCTTTGTACATAGTGTCCTGTAAAGGCGTTTATGTTTCTTTTGATGGTTTGACGAACACTGCTCATAGCAATAACTACTTGTGGTAGAACAAAGAAAGCGAAAGTGATACGAAGAATCTTATCCCTTTCAAGGAATTTTGCTATGAGTGAACTGATTAAACTAAAGTTCGGTTTGTGAGACTTGAACGTAATTTCTTCCATGATTCAACTATGTCATAGCTTCCACCGTTGTGTCAAAAACACTTTCAAAATTGTATCCTAATGGCTTTAGCATCTGAACAGTTTACGTCGTAGAAGTTAATTTGTGCAAACGTCTTACCTGCGTTCCATATTTAGGATCATTTGGAACTGTTGAGAAGAAATATTTTAGGGGGACCCCTCTCATGAAACACCTTCAAGTCGTCATGGGGTATTTTTTGTTTTTTGTTTAAGGGCACAGATAAGTGGTCGCATTAGCAAGGTGTTATAATACCTTTTGGTTAGGAATTTCTAAAATATTTTGAAAAACACCAAGATTGGTTTGTCTGTCACGATTTTTGGATGAAATCACCATTTCATACAAAACACCGGAGTTTTACACGTAAATAACAAAATGCACTCGCGTCCATGCGATTTCTCATACGTACTGGAATATAATGCTTAAAGTTGAAACAATTTGAAAAATAATCAGTTATTAGTCAAGAAGTAAACTCTAGGTGAATCGCCATTAATTTCAAGCATCGCTTTATCACTTCGTACACGTTGTCCAGAAGATATCAGAGGCACTCGGTGATAATCATGACAGTGTACTGATAATTAGTAACGTATCGCAAGTTGTCCCACTCAAAACCACGTCCAAGTGATGTTGATGAAGGGAATGTCACGTGGTTGTCCCAGTGTAAAAGACATTTTCCGATAGGGTAAAATGATATACAAATATTTTAAGCCTGTGTCGAGGCTTTGTATTAATTAAGCGATTTCTTCTGCCATAACAATTGGCACCACGTAATATATTTTAGCAGTAAAAATTAAACAAGGAAATTAAACTTGATTTAGCAAATTGCTTTTAGGTGTTGGGTTAAAGAGTAGATGATACTGTTATTAGTTTGCAGTCTTTTCGGACCAAGCTATTCTCAGCATTTTCGTACAAGACCTAAATCTCAGCGTTCATATCTTCTCTCTGTGACTCTGCACTGATTACATCACTACCTACGCTCAAGGCAACAACGCTACAGCTTTGATAGTGACTCTTAATCACGATCTTCATTAACTATTATCTTGGTTCGTTTCTGCCCACTTGACAGTCAACTTCTCAAAAGTTAAAGCCATAATTCTCAGTAATTCCTCTAAACAACTGTGTTAGGGACAGTTTGCCCCTCCGATACCCCCTTGTGCGGATCACATGATTTCTGCGACTACCATGTGCTCGAAAAATTGTGTTGTGCGCTGTTTTGTGTGTAGGCGAAAGTTTGTTTGTTCGATCATCTATTACCTTTTGATGTTGACGTTTTATAAGCCTGGAGATGCCCAAAAATATGAGAGTCGTCGCTTTTGTGTTATTTTTCTTGTAATTCAATATTTGTTTCGGTTTCGAGTCTCTAGCTTTCTGCTTTATATAATTTACAGCTGTACCGACTAACAGAAGATCACGTACCAGATTAAAACATCTTCAGTGCACAATTTTGTCTGTGATTGTCTTCAACAAACTCGATATTCAAATTGGTGATTCTCCTGTCGAAGTAACATTCGATCTCTTACAAACATTTATGGAATCAGCTTCCTCTAAGCATGAAACAGCTGCCTTATTTAGACACTTCCTGCAAGAATTTAAGGTCATTTGGATTTGGCCCGGAGGATGAGAAGACATGCTGGATGACAATTAAAAGCCCGCAGAATGAGAAAGTCTGCGGGATTAAAAGACCTGCGGAATGAGAGCAACTGCAGGATGCGAAAACCTGCAGGTTAAGAGGGACAGGGTCTTCTTTTGCTATGGACCTTCTCACCAAGCAGGGCTACTCATTTTGCGGGTCCGAACCTATTAAAACACCGGGTGCAATTCACCTACGCTAAGATACTTAAGTCTTTTCCCCCACATGAACTTGTTGATCTTTTTTTTTCCTTTCAAAGTTAAAAAAAATCATCAAGGTTATGTGCGGCTCAAATGCCGGTTACGGCAGAATAGTTGGCTCTAGTTACTTGTTAAACAGTTTCTTAGGTAAATGAGAACAGTAGAGTTTTTCAGTCCACAAACTCACGAACAGGGACTGGTTACTACCTTCCATAGAGCGTGCAAAATACGATGAAAATTTCTTCGATATTCTGCGTTCCAACTGGCGTAGATGAAAACATTCACTCCAGAATTAGTATAAATCAAACATATTGCAATGTTAACTACGATTGGTGGAGCGGAAGACTGCTTCCACATCTCTACCACGTCAATCACGATGATTGGCAGCACAAGAATAATGAACACGCCTATCAAGATCGCGATCATACGGGCACCTTTACCACTTCTGCCACTGTTACGGACGTGATTGCGCATGCGCATACGGGGGAGTCCAGTGTGACCGTTGTTGCCATTTGTTGTGCGACGCTGTTCACCATTTGTGCTGAGTTCCCCGCAAGTAAAAGAATTTTCTTTCAATTGGGAATTATTCAACTGCAAACTGAGCTCTTGCGCAGCGATTGCGCGGGAATGTCTGAAGGATGCCTTTAGGATAAAGAAATAGACTGTTATGATTGTCATTAATGGTAATCCGTGGATGAAAATGTATCCAATTGCGACGTATGTTCTGTCCAATGTGCTGCTAAAACGGCACGAGGGGGATAGTGAAGGGTCATCTGATCGTCCCCACCCGACCAGTGGTGATGCTGCGAACAAAAACATGGACGACCACGATAGGATCACAGAGCCGACAAAAGCCTTCATTGTGAACCAAGTGTGGTACTTAAAAGGCCATTTGATGGCTGTAAACCTATCCACGCTGACTAGTAGAATGCTGATGTTTGAAATACCTCCAAAAAGAAGGGTGAAAAATATAACCACTGAACAAGGAATTGGAGCTTGTTGTTTCCCCATTCCGAGTAGAACTGTGGCACGAAGTGGAATGGCCAGAGCTGCCTGCAGTAAGTCCGCGATCGCTAAATTTGCCAAATAGAGGTCTGATATAGTGCGAAGATTTCGTTTGATAACGATGGCCGCCAAGACAAGTAAATTGCCCACAACAGCGGAGATGGATATCAAAATTAAGCAAACAGCCGTCATTACAGAGCTGCTGTCATATTTGCCTTGTGGTATATCGTCTGTGATATTAAATGTGAAGTCCATGTCAAATGAGTTTAAAGTGACTTTAGTATGCGGTTTCCTTGACGATCCTCAGTTTTTCAAAACCAAGAAAAAGGTTTTGTCTACCGACGGCGTGCATTGACAATGCTGTCAAAACGAAGGAATAGATAATGTTGAAAATGTTGAATATTAAATTCAAAAGCAACGAAACTTCGTAAGGCCAATACAACAGATTGACTAATGTACGTCCGCCCGTTTTACATCCTCTGAAGTCGTTCGAAAAGTAAAAAAAATTAGATATATCGTTTCCGACAATTTGCGCCAAAAAGTGAAATATCTTCATCTACAAAAGATAGCCGTTGAAGAATTTCATACGGTTTCTACTGATCACAACAATATTTCCCCGCAGTTTCGAAATTAGTGTCTCTTTTTGTAAGGATCACTCGCGTTTCTCCTCTTTCTGTTTCGCTAAAAATGTTTTCACTATTAACAGTTCGCGATAGAATAAATGAAAAATATAAACAGTTTGCCGCAACGTATAACAAAGTTATATTTTCAAAAGGTAGCTGTTGAAGAATTTAATTCGGTTTCCACTGATCACAACAATATTACCCCGCAGTTTCGAAATAAGTGTCTCTTTTAGAAGAATCGCGTTTCTCTCTGAAAAATATAAACAGTTTGCTACAACGTACAAAAAAATTATGTTTACCTGGTTTTCCGAGGGCAAGCCTTCCGTCGTTAAACTAGAAGTAAAAGGTCATATTAGGTATCTATAGCGACAATCATTTTGTTTCAGACCGCAACACAAGTGGTGATCATGAGCAAGACATCTACCAAGCGTTACTTTTAAATCAAGCCTTCGTAGAGTTGTATCTCAGAAGGTACTTTCTCTTCACCTGCGGTTAGTTCTCACAAATCATTTTAATTGCATTGTCGACAGTTTATTGTTTATCATATAGCACATATTCAAATGAAAATGGACAACCTGTCAGTTATTCACGAATATAGAAATTTCTTTAGTTACTCTTGCACAGGTGAATTGTCTCGCAAGAGGCCCTCAAACCGTCATCCGTTATAATCCCATGTCAATTTTTGAGTTTGAGACAATTAAAATAGTTCAATAGTCATTTTTATGTTATAGATATAATCTAAGTCCTATTGATGGTCAGTAAGGGGGAAGAATTTTGTTTTAGATAATGAATAGGCCAACAGCATGTTTCTATTCTCAGGTATTGCTGGCGGAAACAATATTATGCATGTTAAAAGAAACACAGTATTGCTTCATCATGAAAAAGGCAGCACTTTTCACATGAAAGCTATTAAGTTTTTTTTCTTTTAACTATTATCACTTCAAGGCGAATATGGTAATTTTAAAATTGGCACTAAATTTATGTGTACGGAGTTGTCAAGTAAAAAAACGTTGAGCTGTCCTCTGAGTGTTTGAAAATCGTCATTAAATGACGGGAAACGTCCTCGTAATAATTTTCTCAGATAAACAGCCTTAAAATAAGCGAAAATAGACCTAAAAAAGGAAGCAAGCGGTTTGCGTTTTGGAGATGGAAGTGATTATCTGCTCTCGTTAAATTGAGATCGCTCTCGGTAAATTGAAATCGCTTTCCCAAAGTTGAAATTAAAATCGCTAAAAATATTCGCTCTTGATAAGTTGAATCACTGTCGCTAAACATTATTCGTTGTCGCTAAAATAGCCCATTTCCGAATTACCCTTGGCCTCATTTTCAAAACGAGTCCTGGTGCTCATCCTTTCATAAGGATGTGAAACACCTTTGTGAAACACTTCATGTGTGACTGATAACGAGAACGAATCTTTACCAGTCTATTTAGTTAATCGGCAACTGACGAGATCCACAAGATATGATTAGGATCGAAACCGCGGTCTTGCCTGACCATCTACAGAAAATGTCGGAAGACATTTAAACGGCAGATGGGCTACTAAATGCCCCGGGCCAAAACAATGCCATTAAGAGAATGAAGAAAACATGGAAGCCTCATATGACACCGCCACTGAAGATGATCTACTCGGTAAGTCTGAGGACAACGAACAAATCCCTGTGTACCAAATGCCTAGCAGAACATGCCCAGAATCCCTACAATATAGGGCGAGCGCCAAAATAAGAGCAGACGAGGATTTCAAAAATGAGATAAAGCAAATCCTGAACAACGCGGAGCAAGAAACAGTAAAGGTGATCATGTGCTTCTATGAAAGTGAAATTGGTCGTTTTAAGACCAAAATAAAGAAAAGAAGACGAGCCAAAACGGCTGGAACACTGAACACTAAGAACTGTAGTACGATCGAATCAGCGCGCGTGGCGCAAGCTGAAAGCAATCAAGACAACTTAACGATCGAGACAGTCAAAAAAATAGCTGTACATCTACAAAGGCGAACGATTCGAAAAAGACGCAATCCCTGATGTGCGTACTCAGTGCCACACATAAAGCAAATTCTCATGAAAAACTGGCATTTAATAGAAACACAACCACTACTGAGCGAACTATACAAAAATCCGCCGCTCGTATCTTACAAAAGAGGGCGGTCGCTCAAAGACATACTCGTGAGGGCTAAACTTTGAATAGGCTACTCTAAACACACGCTTGGGAGTCGTGTAGGCCTGTCAACCCCATTTTACGCCACCATCTTCCTCTTCGCTACTGGAGACAACTTCGCTTCGTTCAGAAGAAGATTCACTTGACAAAACTTCAATATCTGCCATCTCCTTCGCCCACGAATACAAACAAACAGTGAGTGAAATAAACCACGCTATCGGAGTGAACACAACCAGTGACGTCATCAATCCATTTCGCTCGGTACCAG